AAAACTAAATAATAACTTTTCTCTCTTTCGTAAATCATAACAAATTTTCCTCTATAGATCATAATACTCATTGTCAAAGAGCAATCCTTAAAAATACAGAATAATAATAATATACTATATAAATATAAATTGGTCATATAATTAATCATATAATATAATAATCCAAAACTGAATGTTTATCATATTAATATTTATATATTAATATAATAAACAAAATATACTCATTTGAGTTCAGTTTAAATAGTTTTTAATCTGAATAAATATGTGTAATCTAACCAAAAGGTAAATTTAAAACTTCTTTTGTTCTTTCAAGGGGTTGTGACATATAAGAGATTATTGTGATGTCATCTCTGACTCGTCTTTCATGTGATTAAAATTAGATCTGAGTGGCCCCCTATTCATTATAACAGCAGCTGTATGAACTGTGTTCTGATCCAAGATGGCCGCCCTCTGGACGCGTCCAATGGGGCGTCTTCTTATTTAATGTCTATGATTGCCACAGACTAAAACTAATACTGCTAACACAGGCTAACAATATAACAGAAGGCTAAAAATGGCAAAAAATATGCTGACTAGTTAAAAACAAGCGAACTAAAGAACTGAAAACGTGCTAGCACGTTAAAAAAAAACAAAATACGGTAGCCTAAATCGATGCAAACAGAAGCCAGAAATGTTACAAAATACAGGCTGGTCACACCCTAATAAAAGTCTGAAAACAGTGAAAGAAAAGCAACAAAATTAGATTCTAACAACTAGAAAACAAGACGCGGACAAGACAGAGCTAATAATGTGTCAACAAGCTAGGACTTATTTTAATACCAATTTATAACAGTTAATATACCATCAAAATAACAAGATACAGTAACAGTCCTAAAGAGCTTATAGGAGCCATTTGGGTCTATTTTACTTATTTTTTAAAGCATTGGTTTGGTTAGGTGGCTGGATTTTATGTGAATTGTTTCTCTGACCTTTATTCTTGCTCTTCCACAGGTGGCGCTGTGGGTGAAATGAACGTAAGGCAGCGAGTGAAGGTACACGGTTTTTACCGCTCGCTGTTTGTTTACAGGTTTGCTTC